ACCCCCCCCGGAAATCGTGTTTTTTTTTTTTTCCTTCAGTTTTATTCCCCCCCCCCCCCCAATTCGTCCACTCAGCAAGTCATTTGAAAATGTCACACACTGTACAGAGACGAAAAACAGGCATATAAATACCAGCGTGATCGGGACCGGAAGGTAGAGGGTGGCGTTCTGTTCTTTGCCCCCCCCCATCGAATCAGGGAAGGCGGTGGGGGGGGGGAATACCGCCCCTGTGATGTGCTAGGAGCGGGCAGATGCTGAAGAAACACCTGAATTCAGGGCAGACGTAGAGGTGTGTGCAGGTGTGTGGACCTATGCCAAGCACAGAGGCCTGAAAGCACTTGGAAGGCAGACTGGTGGGACGAGGAGGGATTTGGGGGGCCCTGAACAGGGAGGAGCAGCCGCCGCTCACCCCAATTTGAGAACTGGGGGCTGACAGACCCCCTAAACCGGAACCTAACAGTTGCCCGGAAGGGAAGCGGCTGCTGACTCGCCTCTCCCGAGTCGGGAAGGGACGAGTCGCACATCCATGCGAACCCCAAAGGATGGGGCGATGCCCTTGAACTGAAAGTCTACAGAAGGGGAGGGGGTGTCTCTTAGGAGGAGCCATCTGCCCGGTGGAGGCGGGCGGCCAACTTTTGCTTCTCTTGGATCGGAGAAGGGAACGAGGGCAAGCAGTCTCCCCGGGGGCGCGTGCGTTGGGGCAAGTGGTCGCACAGGAGAGGGAGGAAATGTGACCTCCGAAAGAAGACATCCTCCAACTCGGGGACACGCGCTGGAGCATGGAACCAAGGGGGAAAAGGGAGAGATGTTATCCCAGAGACGACAGCACTCCTTGTACAGGAGCGTATAAACCCCCATCGATCTCCCGGAAACAGCCCAGAGGAATCCCAGAGGCCAAACTTCTTTGCTACGGCATTAGTGTAAAAAAAAAAAAAATAGCACGAAAGCAGCCCTGGGCGCGGAGTCAAGCCCCCCTCCACTCCCCCGGACAATATTCTCATACATTCGCACACACCTCCATCAAGACAGCAGCCTAGCGAAGAGATAAAGTAGCGTTTAAAACAAGGAGTGGAACAGCAGCCCTTTTTTGGGGGGGAGGGTTTGACGGCTCCCACCGCCGGACAGGGAGGGCCCCCGCCCCGCCCCCCGTGCACGGAGCCCTTAACACGATTTTTCAAGAGTTTGCAGGCCTTAAGAGGACGCGGCCAGCATCAAGGCAGCAGGATAAGGATGTCGGGGGCGGGGGAGAGACGGACCCTTCCCGATTGCGGAAAGCGGCCCTAACAGTTCGAAGCCCGCCCCGCAGGGCTGTTAGATATGCAGCAGTTTCCAGGCAGGCTCAGACCCAGCGGCATGGTGGCCGGGGCGGCTTCCTCGCCCCCCTCCCCAAGCTCGACCGCTGAGTCTGCGAGTGACTCTGGGGAGGAAGCGGCGGAGTCGCACGCAGGGGTCATGCTAGGCCGCGTGCCGCCGGCTGTCGGTAAGACCAGCCATGGTGGCACGGTTCGGCTGCCCGGTTTCAAGGTGAGCGACCCACCCCCGATATGTTTTCAGCACATTGGAAGTTCCAGTTAAAGCCGTGTGCGCGGCCGCCACCCGTAGACCTTTCGCAGCTCACTAACAGGCGTCTGGGTTCCGACGAGAAACGCAAACCGGGTCGTTGCAAGAACGGGTTTCAAGCGTCCCTGGCTCCAGCCATACATGTTGCCGTTCGGCAGAAGGGTGGAGAATCCCCCCCGTCGGGGACACTCCTCACAGAGGTGCCCCAACGTGCCCCAAAGTACTCTCCTGGTGAGAGGCCTCTGCTGTTAAAGGGGAGTTTTTAGGTTTGCGGCAGAGATACCCGCGGGGGGGGGGGGGGGGGAGATGGGAAACGATCTGTGGCCGCACAGCTGAAAGAGTTTGGGTGGCACGCAATCCCAGGGCAAGGGAGTGCTGCGATGGGTGGGAGAACAGGGGAGCCAAAAATGAGAAAACTGAGCTTAGCAGAGTGTAGATGGAAGCGATGAGGGAAAAGCCTCGGATGGACAGACCCATCAAGAGGTGCAGTGGGGGGAGGGGTAGCATAGAAATCTCTTCATCTGGTAGTTATTTGCACCTGGGGGTGGAAAGGGAGCGGACTCTGTGATCCGTCAGAGGGAGCTGGTTTCGTTAAGAACTCGAGGCAGATGGCCACGATTCCCTCCCTCGCCTCGGCCCTCTGCTTCTTTCCCTCCTGGCCACCGACAGCGGCGCCCCTCCAGACTACAATCCCAAACCCGGGTTTGCGTCTGTTCCCCCCCTAGGACTTTCGGCCCGGTGTGGAGGATTCGTTCTTTCAGATCCCCTTCCACCGGACTACAATTCCCAGAGTCCCTTGGGCCGCCGTCATGAGCCTGGAACCAGTTTTAAAAGGGCAGCGCGGGCAAGTTCCACCTGGGGGCAAAGTGATCCGCCACATGGGAAGTCGGCCCCCTCGCTCACCCGGACAACTTGTTATGCTCGGGCCAAACTGCACTTTGCAGGGAGACCTGTCTCGCAGTGTGTGATGGATAACACTTGGGCTTTATCGACTGCAACGGAAACAACCCAAGTCCCGGCATTCGTGGGCACACGGAAACCGACAGTCGGGTCTTTGCGGTTATCTCCCGAAACCTGTTAATGAGCTGCAAAGGCCGGCGAAGATAAGATAAGATAAGCCCTCGTACCCCCCCTCTACGGAGGCAAGTTGATCAGAGAAACCCTGTGGCTTTTTATTTTATATATATATAACTTTTTTTTTTAATTTTTAAAAAAAATTCTTTTTCATACACGGGGTTGGTTTTTCTCCTCCCCCACCCTAAAACTTCCTGTCTTCCGAACAGGAAGGAGAGATGGGAGAGAAACCAAACCCGAACTGGCAAACACAACCAAACGGGGGGAGAGCAAAAAAAACCCCAAACGTCAACACAACAAAACTTCTCGCAAAGCACACTCACACCACCGCACCCTCTTGAACGCGAGCGGAAACCCCCGGAGACAGAGAGAGAGCAGAGAGGACTCCTTCGTTCAAAAACTCCCCTCCCCGCCCTCCGCCCCTCACCTCCCGTCCTCCCGCCGGCCGGCCCGCTCCCGCAACATGTCGGAGGGCTGCACCCAGTTGTTGTCGTGCAGCCCCACCCGGCACCCGGGGGTGTCCTTGTCCGTCTGTCGGCAGCACATCCAGTAGGAGCGTCCGTAAGGCAGGTCGTGATGATAGGGCTTGGGGTGCCAGCGGCAGAGGGAGACGTCCCCCTTCTCGTAGCGCCTCTTGCACTGCTTGCAGGGGTCGTCGCGGTACAAGGGGTCCCTGTTCCACCGGGAGTCCGTGGCCTGCACGCCGAACGTCTCGATGACGTACTTGAAATAGTGGCAGGAGCATTTTAAGGCGGCCAGCGACTGCGTGGGCAGGTAGCTGAAGATCTTCACCATGACGTGGTCCGGGAGGAGGAGCATGTACTGGCGGGGCGCCAGCAGGGGCCGGGTCTTGAAGCGGATCTCCAGGAAGTCGTGGGAGACGTGGCGGTAGAGGCGGCACAGGGAGGTGTCCGAGGCCGCCGGCTCCAGGCCGGACCCGTCGGGGGCGCCGTCGCCGCTGCTGCTGGCGTCCAAGAAGGCGCCGTTGCCCTCCCGCCCGTCTTCGGGCCGAGGGGGTTGGGCGTGGAGGAAGAAGAGCTGCCCCGGCGGTGGGTCGTCGCAAGAGGAGCAGAGGACTTCCTGGGTGGGAGAGCCGACCGTCAGGCACACCGTCTCCTCCTTCATGTTCTTGGTGCTGTCCTTGCCGAAGAAGACGCACTGGTCCACCACGCCCGTGACCACCACGTCGACGTGGAAGCCCGACACGCAATCCCGGGAGATGGGGCCGGCGGGGCCGCCCGGCTTCTCCCCGCCGCCTCGGCCCCCTTCCGGGATGGCGTCCAGCTTGCCGGAGCCGCCCTGGCTCTCGCCGCAAGTCATCTCGACGTCCGGGGGCTCCGGGCCGGACCCGTCCGCCGCTTTCGGGGAGGCGGTGGCCAGCAGGAAGTCCACGTTGTTGGGGAGGGTGTCCCGGGAGGGGCTGATGAGCTGGTAGAGGTCGCAGGTGATCTTGTCTTTGGCACGGGCCGCGTTGCCGGTGGGCGAGCCCCCGCAGCTCATGAACACGCAGTTGGGGCGGGCGCCGGAGCCGGCCTCGGTGGGTGAGCGCGGCTCCCGGCTGCTGGAGATCCGGAAGGCGATGCGGACCTCGCCGGGGCTGTGCTGGGAATTGGCCACGCACTCGGCCGACTCCCGGCACAGGCCGTTCTGCCGCAGGACGCTCCGCTCCCGCTGCTGTGACTCGAAGTGGGCCACGGCCTCGGCCACCCGGCTGCAGTCGGGGCCGCCCCCCAGCGACGGCCCCTTCTTCTCCCCGCCGTCGCCTTGCTCCTGGTCCGTGGACACGAACACCATAGGGGACGGCGGCGCGGAGGCCGGGCTCGGCCGGGGGTAGCTCTGCAGGGCCAAGGCCGTCCGCTGCTCCACCAACGCCACCATCTCGGCCACCGAGAGCAGGTCGGTGTCGCCGCCTGGGTCGGCGTGGGCCTCCGGACAAAGGCACACGTCCTCCGCTTCCTTGACGGCCTCCTTGGCCTTGACGGGCCCGGCTTTGGCGGCCTTGCTGGGGTCGTGCGACCGCCGCCGGCGCTTGGCCTTGGAGCTGTCGCTCCCCCAGTTGCCTTTCACCTTCATGGCGCTCGCCCGGCTCCCGCTGCTGCACTGGTGGGCCACGAAAAACGCAATCTTCTCCTTCGTGTTGCCGGGCTTGATCACGTACCACGTGTCCAGGAGCACCCCCCCCTCCTCCACCTGGCCGGGGTTGGGGGAGGCAACGGGGGGCGGGGGAGGCGGGGTGTTCTCCGAACTGGCCTCTCCGCCGCCCTCTTCTTCTTCCTCCTTGGCCTTGCAGGCGAAGTCCCCGAAGGTCTTCCTCACCTGGCCTCCGCCGCACTGCTTGTTCTGGGAGTAGGTGCCGAAGGGCCGCGGGCACCACAGCTGGATGTGGGAGAACGTGTTCTGATCCATCGCTCTCTCATGGCCAGGCGGCGGGGGGAAGGTGGCTGCCCCCTAGCCCGTGGCCGTCTGCTCTCGGGGCGTCTTCCTGGGGCCTGGGAGGTCTCTGGGGAGAGGGAGAGAGAGAGACGTTATCAGGTTTGCAGCCCATGCTCCCTCTAAACCGTGGAGTCTTGTGAGCAAAAATCCCGCTTTGTGAGCTACTGGCATTAAAGCCGTGAGCGAGCGATTTGGCTACTGCATCAATTAGTTTGCTCCGGAGCCGTCCCTTCCTGAGCTAAGGCGAAAATGTGTGAGCCGGAGGCTAAGAAACTGTGAGCCAGCTCACACTAACTCAGCTTAGAGGGAACGCTGTTTGCAACACACAGAATGAAGCTCGACAGCCGGGATTGCATCTATTCTGCAATCCCTCACGAATATGGGAATTCAGCTTCTTGGAAACACCAGGGAGGAAGAGGGGTGGGGAGGAGGAGGGAGAGGGGGGGGAGGGATTGGATTTATACCCCGCCCTTCACTCAAAGTCTCAGAGTGGCTTACAATCTCCTTTCCCTTCCCCTCCCCACGACAGACACCCTGTGAGGTAGGTGGGGCTGAGAGAGCTCTTTCAAGGACTGCTCTTTCAGGAACAGCTCTGACAGAACTACGACTTGCCCAAGGTCATCCAGCAGCTGCAAGTGGCGGAGCGGGGAATCAAACCCGGCTCTCCCAGATTAGAGTCCGTGCACTTAACCACTACACCAAGCTGTAAGCGAAGGACACCCAGGAAAAGAGCAGCAGGTGGAAATATTCCGGCAATCGGCCCCAGTTTATTAGAAAGGCCATCTTTGCGAGTATAATTCTATATTAGGAGCAGGGGAGGATTCCGCAGAACAGAAGAGGACATTAACTCTTCCAAAACTGACGGTGGCTGGCCAAGAGATAACCCACCCCCCTCGCTTTAGTTCTACGTCGTCCGTGTAATGGGTGCTTCTTATAAAAAGCACCCGAAACACATTGCGCTCGGCACAGGAATAGTACAGATGGGCCCGGGGCTTACAGTCTCTGAGAAACCACCAGATGGAAGACAAGGTCACTTGCAGGGAAAAGGGAAAGCTTTGCGTTTGCTGGAGAGCACAAGAGGAAAATATAGGCTACAGCCATTAGCAAAGAAACTGGAAAGGGCTCTCAGCACACCAAGATGGGAATACTTAACCAATTCACCAAATGCACATTTCTAGTCTTTATGGCCTGAAAGATACACAGGCAAAATCTAACGAATTGCCAGGAGCTGCGAAAGAGGCCGCGAAAGCCTGGCGATGGTACAATCGTCGCCACTGTTGTCTGACAAACAGTAAAACACCCAGTAGCACCTTCAAGACTAACAAAACTTTAGTATAGCATAAGCTTTTGAGAAACACAGCTCTCTTCGTCGGATGCATCTGACGAAGAGAGCTGTGTTTCTCGGAAGCTTATCCTACAATAAAATTTGTCAATCTTAAAGGTGCTGCGGGGCTTCTTATTGTTTTGCAGCAATAGACTAACACCGCTCACACCTCTGGTTCTCTGACGAAGGGAGCTTTGGTCTCGAAAGCTTGTACCCCACCCCCAAATCTCGGTTTCTAAGGTGCTCCTGGATTCGAATCCAGCCGTCACACCACTCTTAATTTATTCATCAACCCCCGCCCCAGCCAATCATTTATATAATCCTATTCAGGGGTCATTTCCTGCAGGAGTGCAGAGGAGCGGGGCTCCAACAGTAAAGAGCCCAGGGGGTGGGCACATGCAATAAGCTCCACCCCCTGCTCCCAGCAGCCCTCAGTCAGAGCAAGAAGCAGCCAGGTAAAAAGAGCTCCTTCCCCCTCCCCGGTCCAAAACAGTCCAGTGGCACCTTTAAGACCAAGTTTTATTCAGGTACAAGCTCTCCCTCCTCTGCGAGAGCAGATCTGCACGTTCCCCCCCCCCTCAATAGCTAGCAATCCAAAACAGTCCAGTGGAGCCTGAGGGGTGGGTGTTGCCTTCTGACACATTTCCGGTGATGTCAGGGGGTGTGGCATATGCAAATGAGTTATGCTAATGACCTTTAAGCCCAACTTTTATTCAGGTACAAGCTCTCCCTCCTCTGCAAGGACAGATCTGCACATTCTTCCCCCCCCCCCTTAATAGCTAGCAATCCAAAACAGTCCAGTGGAGCCTGAGGGGTGGGAATTGCCTTCTGACACCCTTCCGGTAATGTCAGGGGGTGTGGCATATGCAAACGAATTATGCTAATGGGTTATGCTAATGAGCTCCTACACCTCTTTTCTACAAAATGACCCCCGATCCTATCGATGCACATTCCAGAACCAATTTCTAAACCCCTCCCTTCAACCTGTGCAGCTCTCGTTTCTTCCATCTTGAGAGCTTCGGTTTCGTTTCTCTTTCCAAGGCGCTGGTCCTCATGAACAGCCGCCTGCTGACTTTTGAGGAGTCGGGGGTAACCGCAGAGACCTGCGGAGATCCTTTCTCCTGCCTAGAGCTCTCCCACGTGTACCTACAGATCTGCTGGATCACATCTCTGGCCCCGCCTTACTGCACGCAACTCAGAACTCCGCCCTCAGCGCCGCTTTTGTAGGCAGCTGGCTCGGTTTCTAGAGAACCTCCTGCATAATTTACACCCAGAGCCCAGCACTAAAGAAAGGAAAGCTGGACGACAGCAAGGATCCAATTACCATGCCGTAAAGGACGGGGGCAGAGGCAGTCCCAGGGTGGCAAACGGCGGCCTGGAGGGCAGCCCAGGAAAGGGGTGATTGTCAGGATGGGGACGACACAGCAAAGAAGTGCCGGGGTGGTGGTGGTACTCTGACGAGAGGGAGCACATAAAAGCACTGTGCATGACAACCGAGCAGCTGAAGAAGCCCTGGAAGTTTCAAAGGAATCTGGGGTATGTTTCAGGACAGTCATTCATAAGAACCCCAGGAGAGGCCTGCTGGATCAGATCAGTGAGGGTCCATCTAGTCCAGCATCTGGTCTCACACAGGGGCCAACTAGTTCCTCTGGAGGGCCGACAACGGGGCAGAGAGGCCAAGGCCTTCCCCTGATAAGAACATCAGAAGAGCCCTGCTGGGTCAGACCAGTGAGGGTCCACCTAGTCCAGCATCCTGTCTCACATAGTGGCCAGCCAGTTCCTCTGGAGGGCCAGCAGCAGGGCAGAGAGGCCGAGGCCTTCCTCTGATAAGAGCATCAGAAGAGCCCTGCTGGACCAGACCATCTAGTCCATCTAGTCCAGCTTCCTGTCTCACACAGGGGCCAGCCAGTTCCTCTGGAGGGCCAATGTCCTCCGGGAGTGCATTCCACCAGTATGGGGCCACCACTGAGAAAGCCCTGGCTCTGGGGAAATTCAGCCTGGCTCCTTTCAGACCAGGGAGGGTCAAACGATGTTGCAACCCTGACCTCAGTGCTCTCTTTATGTACTAAGTATAAATACATAAAGCACAGGTTATCTTTGCTCAATAGTCAATTTTTAGCACGTTGAAGGTCAGATAGATTAATCAGAAATCCAAGCATTTTTCTGAGACAACCAGATAATACACTTAAGTACTTGATTATACAGTTTCCTGCCAACCACAGCACTAGAAATCATCATATAGAAATCATGGTGCACTTTGTCAAAACCAGAAATATTTCATCATCTTGATATCCTTCCCACAGAGCCCACACTAGTAATAGTAATATACTTTATTGTCATTGTACATAGTACAACGAAATTAAGATGCAATCATTTCGGTGATCTACGACAATATTCATATACACTCACACAACCATTCACAACTGTCTCATAACTCCCTTAAGGTTCACATAGCAACTTAAAACCACCAATGTCACACAAATTCCAATGTCATACAGCATTTAAGGCAGTAATAGCTCTCGAATAAAAGCTATTTTTTAATCTGTTTGTCCTTGCTTTAATTGTCCTATATCTTCTGCCCGGAGGCAGCAGTTCAAACAGGGAGTGTCCAGGGTGTGACAAATCCTGCAGAATGTTCTTTGCTTTTTGCGAACATCGAGAACTATACAATTCCTCCAGGAATGGGAGGGGGCAGCCAATGATCTTCTGGGCTGTGATGATAACTCTCTGGAGTGCTTTCCTCTCCACAGCCGTACAACTGGCAAACCAGGCACAGACGCAGTATGTTAAAATGCTCTCTATCGAGCAGCGATAGAAGGACATCAGTATTTTCTCAGTCAAGTTATTTTTCTTCAAAAGTCTGAGAAAAAAGAGCCTAGTATCTAGTATTTTGGGGAAGAGGAAAAGGGTTCTCTTTCTCAACTCTCTGCACCCCGTGCGTAGTTTTAAACACCTCTCTTGTGCCCCCGCTTAGCTGCCCCTTTTCTAAACTGAAAAGCCCCCTGACTCTTCAGCCTTTCCTCAGGGGGAAGACGCTCTGATCTCCTAACCGTCTCACATCAGCCTACTGGGTCTGGGCAAACCATGAGAGGAGGAGTTGCGGTCCCATGGGGGCAACCGACATTTAGGTAGTGACAGATTCAGTTCCTGACATCCCCAGCTGGAGGATTTTAGGTGCTGAGAAAGCCCTTTCTACACTTGAGGCGTTGCTCTATTAATCAACGGACGTAACGTCATTTTAAAAAATCTTTACAACGACCCTGGGAGGTAGGACGGTATGCTCCCCAGGTGGGGCGCAGGGGATGAGAGAAAGGCAGAACTCGTCTAAGGCTGTCTAAAGAATTTGCGGCAGGGGAGAGATTCAAACCCCTTCCAAGTCTTGTGGCCGTTAAATTATTATTTAATAATAATTACGCGGTTAGCAATTCAGTAACATTTCAGAACGCCCAAAGCACCGGACATACATTATCCTAGCCGTTTTAGCAATGGGTTGCTTTTAAGGATGAGGGCAAGACGGCAGGCGGACGCTAGCAAGCGCCGAGCGAACGCTCTGCGTTCCAATTGGTTCCTCTCCAGGGCGAGGCTGAATCGGATAGAGGCTGGAAAAGCCAACCAAGAAATCTCCAAAAACCCTTTGCACAATGTTGGAAGCAAGAGAGAACACCTGAGATCACAGAATGGTTACAAAAAGTGTTCTTTATGGCAGAAATGGACAAAATAACAAGAAAGCTGAACCACA